TTATATATTATATATATAGTATATTATATATATATATATATATATATATATAATGATATATTATTATATATAATATATATATATATATATATATATATACTATATATATATAGTATATATTATATATTATATATATATATGCAAGTACAAATTTTATGGCTTGGTAGTCGAGAGAGAGTCCTCTCCACTCATTCAAAATGGGGGATGCACATGCCACATAGGTTGAGGAGTGCAATTGAGATATGCAACAATTTGAATGAGTTGGACCGGATTATGTCACCGATCATTTACGGATCATAACCTTTTGTGCTGGTTACCAAGCATACCTCATTTTTTCTCCTATTATATATATATATATATATATATATATACTATATAGATATATATATTATATGATAATATGAAATGGCACGACCTTGTACCAAGTTGGCTTAAAGCAACATGGTATGATGTGGCCTAATCGTTGCCGCTACATCATACCTCGAAGATAGAGCCTCAACCACCTTCACCACTCTAATGGTGAGATTAGGGACTAAGTTATATCATATCACTATCCAGTTGGGTTAGAGCAACTTAGTACCAAGTTTTCTATTTTGTCTTATTATATATATATATATGTGTGTTGTGTAAATGTGTGCGAGCGCGGCGGGCGCGCACACACAAATATACATATATATAGATACATATATATGTATGCTTGTAGTATATACATACAATATGTAATATATGTTCATATTGTATATATATTATATAATAATATATATATAATATATATATATAATATATATATATATAAATATATAGTATATATATAGAGAGAGAGGAGAGAGAGAGAGAGAGGAGGAGAGAGAGAGCGAGAGAGAGAGAGAGAGAAGATGTATGTTTGGTGCCAAGCACAAAAAGGGCCAAGCACAAAAAGTTGTGTTTGGTAGTGAGATGTCACATCGCCTCCACTAATTTAAATGGTTGCATATCTCCATGCACTCCTCAACTCATGTGAATATGATCCCCCATTTGAATGAGTGGAGCGAGATGTGTCACCTCGTTACTAAGCACAAAATTTGTGTTTGGTACCAAACATACCCATTTTTGTCATATATATATTTTAGATTCTACTTCACTTTAGCTATTTCTTGGTATGGTGACTTTAAGCTTAATCATTCATTGTGCTTTGGAGATTTTTGGGAATGCGTTGGTTGGGACATGGCATGTATTGCTAAGGCGGGTGACTTTCTAAATCCTACAAGGTTTACAATGCTTCACTTTTAATGTCTCTGTTTCTTTTTTGTAATTTTTCTCATTTCAACTACCCTTTGATTGCGGTCTTCTTTCTTTGTTACTTATTCAAGCTTGGTTAGCTGTTTTTTCTATTGATTTTTAGATTTTATATTTGTCAAACTTTCTTTGTTTTTTTTTTTGGTAAATGAACTACATTTTATTCATTTTCCAAATATAACATTGTGAAACACATCAAAAACCAGAAGTTATCTGGTAGTCATAAAGAAAAATTACAATTTCTCAAGAAGATCCTTCATATGAACATGTATACTCTCATTCAAAACTTTTGTATAAATGGAAATTTTAATTGCTCGGAGGACCTAATATGATCCCTTAGCTTTTCCCTGGAAGATTCTCAAGTTGCGCTCTTGTCAGATCATATAGATTGTAGGCGTAAGTGTCATCCTCTTTAATTTCTTCATGGGTCCCTTACCTTTCAAGTTACAAGAGTACCAACGAATGATAATGTTCCAATCGCAAGACCAAGAAATACTATGAAGTCAGAAATATGAAATACTAGTTTAAGGGTATGAAATACTAAGAAGTCAGAAATATGAAAGGCAAGAGATCCTGTAGTGAGGAACAGAGCAACCCAATCTCGAGGAGAGCTTTGAGCAGAGTCTTGTTCATTCCTATGCTGAATTCGGAGACAAGAGAGAGGAAGTTGGAATCGAAACAGGGCACGTGCTTCAAGAGCAAGGGTTTTTGGAACGGATGCCCAAAAGAACCCATCATTTGGGTTGATTGGGTTTCTCGTGGGGCCCACTGTCTTCAATAAGTAACGCACCCAAAAGACAAGCAATCGGCTCGGCTGATTGGGTTTCTTTGTTGGGCCCACTAACTTGAGGGAGAAATGTACCAGCAGAGCCCAATATTTATGCATTATCTGTTTCTGTTCTATTAGAATTCCCATGCAGATACCTCGGATGTGCGTATTTTGGGCCTCGAAGGTCCAGTTCGGCATTGTTTTCTTCAGAGTTGTTGCTATTTTTGTTGGCCTAAAGTCTGGCCCGTTACCAAAAGGCCCAGTTCTCCACAATATTTGTTTCAGACTATCTCTAATCTCTCCTCCTACTCGATGGTACTGAATCCTAAGTTGCAACCTCCTCTCCATCCCTTTGTCCTGCTCTGTAGCCGCTATGAGTCTTATCTCCCATCCTTGTAGGTCGGCTCCTACCATTCGAAATCCTAGGCTTCTCTCCCGTGTCGGCTCCCCTTCTCTATTTAGGTCGAAGGGTTGGTAGTAGCTTGGGAGAGTTGTGAGCGACGATGAAGAAGACCCTGAGCTTTGTGCTATTCTCTGCTTTGTGCGATCGATCCTCTCCCTTCTAAAGCTTTGTGCTTTCACCCTTTGTGAGGTGAGTGGAGAGACAGTGGAATAGTTGTTTTCCCCCTTTTGCGTTCTTGGTGGTGCACAAAAGAAGAAGAACGGATTGGTTGGTCAGGCTTCTGAGCCAAAGAGCGACGATGTCGATCCTCAACAGTGGTATCAGAGCTTAGTGAGTCGTCGCCGTTCAAAACCATCGTCGGCGAGCTTTAGGAACTACTACTCGAAGAGTCTCTTCAGTCTCGTCCTCGTCCCGGGCTTCGTCGGATCGCTCTTGATCGACGATCTCGAAACGATCGGTTGGATCTGAAGCCATCAGACTTGATCGAGGACTAGTGGACGAAGAGATCCTCGCTGCCTAGGGTTTCATACTGTTGAACCTCTTCACGGTCGTGGCAGCGACGAGTACGATGGTGTTGGGTAAGGTCGAAACTCTCTCCTAGAGTTTCGCTCAGGTATATTGACTGAAAACCCAACTCTACAGTTATCTATTTGCTAGAAATTTTTTCTTTTCTTGTTTTTGTTTCTGCCCATGCTAGTTGCTGTGATACCATTGCTTATTTTTCTTGTGTGAAGAATGTCTGTTGCTAATCAATATGGTATGGTTTTGTTCAACGGAAAATCTAATTTTAGCATTTGGAAACAAAAAATAAAATGTATTTTAATTTAACAAAAGTCATTTAGGGCTGTTGGCCAGACCTATTTGACTTCTGACACTAAAGAAAAAAGGGCTAAAATGAACGAAAATGCTTGTTCCACAATTTATTTGAATTTATCTAACTCTGTGCTTAGAAAAGTTAGAATTTTGGAATATGCTAAAACCTTTTGGGATAAACTTAAAGAACTCTATACTAAAACCTCTTTACCCAGTAAAATGTTTTTGGTTGAATTTTTTTTAAATTTAGATTGGATATGTCTAAGGACATTGAGGAGAACCTAGATGTTTTCATAAAACTTATTTCAGATATTAAGTTAACCGGTGACAAACATATAGACGACAATACTTCTATTGCCCTTCTAAATGTTATTCCTGACTCATATAGTGATGCGAAATATGCTATTAAATATGATAGAGATGAGGTTACCCTTGACATAGTGGTCAATGGTTTTAAGAGTAAGGAATTAGATTTAAAACATTCTGGGGGAAATAAAAATTCTGGTGAGGTTATGCATGTGAGGGGTAGGCCTCAGAATAGGTCTAATAACCAAAAGAATGCTAGTAATAGGGAATCAAGTAAGAAAAAATTTGAAAATGGAAGGGGTAGATCTAAGTCCAGGTTTAAAGTTAAAAAATGCTATAATTGTCATGAAACTGGTCACTTTATTAAAGATTGTCCTAAGCCTAAGAAAAATCAGCAAAATGAACATGCTAATATGGCTGTCTGTGAGGGCAAAATGGGTAAAATTTTCATGATTAATAATCTTTGTGATTATGCATATTTGAACTCTGTGTTATCTGATTCTATGTAAATCAGATTGGTTAGTAGACTCTGGTTGTACTTTTCATATGACTCCTTTTAAAAACTTGTTTTCAAACTACAAGAAAATAGGGAATAGCTTTGTGTCAATGGCAAATGAAAAGAAATGCAATGTTTTAGGAACTGGTAATGTATGCCTTAGGTTTTCTTCTGGTTCTGTGTTTACTTTAGGCATGTTCCTGATTTACGTTATAACTTGATTTCTTGTGCATCTCTAGAAAATGATGGTTTGGAGAGAAAATGGGGTAAAGAGGTTATGAAAATTCTGAAAGAGTCTCTTATTATTTTTACTACTGAAAAACAAAATATTATTTTTACTACTGAAAAACAAAATAACTTGTATGTTTGTCATGCTGAACTTGTGCTTGATTCTGTTAACTCTGTGGTAGGTGATAAATCTGTTTTATGGCATAATAGATTGGGTCACATGAGTAATAAAGGATTGGAAATTTTGCATAAAGGAGGTCACTTTGGTAGTGATAAAATATCCTGCATCCCTTTCTGTGAATCTTGTGTGCTAGGAAAATAACATAGGATTAGTTTTCCTATTTCTTCTTTTCCTAATCAATCTAAGTGCACAGATGTAATTGAATATTTGCATGCTGATGTGTGGGGTCCCTCTAGTGTTCCTACGCATGGAGGGAACCAATATTTTCTTTCCATAATTGATGATTATTCTAAAAAAAGTTTGGATTTTACTCATGAAGTAAAAATCTGAAGTTTTTGATAAATTTAAAAACTAGAAAATCTACTTCTTTATTACTAAAAGAGAACAACAAAAAAGCTAAAATGAACAGTAACTTTTCTCATTATCCACGTATTTAAAACCTTATTTCTGTGAAACTCCCGTCCTAATAACCCCACGTTTCCAGTAACCCACTCCCACTTCCTGTAACTCCCTAATAACTCTCCCCTCCTCCTCTCTCTCCCTCTTAAAACTCCCTATTTCTCTTCTCTCTCTCTCTCTCCCTCTTAAAACTCCCTATTTCTCTTCTCTCTCTCTCTCTGCCCTCCCTCTCCAGTCAAGCCATGATTTCAAGGAAAAGATCAAGGGCACGGTGGAGAGGATCATGAACCCTCGAACGCTCTACGCTTTCAAGGAGAAGGGCGTACTCAGCGACTCCGAGTTCGTCATCGCCGTCGACAATCTCATCTCCAAGTGCCCTACTTGGTCCTGGCACTACTCCCACTTTTCTCAAAACCCTACCTTTGGTTCTCCCTCTCTCTCTCTTTCTCTCTAATTTGTTGACTTTTGTAGGGAGGCGGGGGAATCGAGCAAGAGGAAGTCCTATTTGCCTGCTGATAAGCAATATCTCATCACGAGGAATGGTATTTGATCAAACCCTAGATCTCAAAATCGCCTCTTTTTGAGTTTTCTTGATTCTGTTAACGGTATTTGTTGATTTTTGTTTTTTGTTCGGAATATGATTATAGCTTAAGGGGTTTTGGTAGTTTTGTTGCAGTTTAAGGAGTTCAAGTTGGGATAATTTGCACTTTGGTGCTGCAAAGTTGTCGTCTTTTTGAGCTTTGGTGACGCAAAGTTGAGTTCAATAGGAGATATTTTTCCCTCTTCAAAAGAGATTCGTGGACTTAGAAATGTGATAAACTTTCTAATCTGTTTTCAGTAAGATTTTGTTATTTATGATAAAATGGTCACCTTTATAGCTTTATATCTTCGTTAAATTTTTTTAGAAGATGCTCAAAGAATTTGATAAAGAGAGCCCAAAACTCAGTTTAATTAGTTCTTAAGTTATATAACAAAATGTTGCGTCAAAGTCCTTTCATGTAGCTTTCAAAGTCCCTGTTGGTGACACCCCCTATGGCCCTATGTCAGGGCAAAAAGAGTTCAGGTAATCTTTTTTTCTGGGGTTTTCCCAGATTTTTTTATTTATTTTTTCCTGTAGCAATTTTTGTGACGTTGGTTATCTGTCAGTTGGTTGATAAGGATCCAGAGAGAGCAATTGCTCTGTTTTGGGCCGCAATCAATGCTAGAGACAGTTGACAGTGCTCTCAAAGACATGGCCATTGTTACAAAGCAACATAATAGAGCTGAAGAAGCCATTGAAGCTATCAAATCCTTGAGAAATCGATGTATCGATCAAGCACAAGAATCATTAGACAACATTCTTCTAGATCTCTACAAGGTTTCTTTCTTCTTCTTCTTTTCTCTTCATCAAATTTAATGTTTTTGTTAGAATTTAAAATTATAATCCATAGTCCTCACCGTTACTTCCGTTAAATTTCTCTATTTTGTTGAAACTCCCTGCAAGGGATTCAATTCTAATATGAGTTTATGTTCTGAATGTATTTGATAAGTTACACGTATGTTTAAGTTGCAAAATTTTGAGCTAGACTTGGTCACTGTCAAAGCTCTAAGATCATTCCAGTTGTTTTATGGCTATTAATTTTTTTTTACAGATTTTACCTACCACTTTAGTTAGCGCATGATTTTCTCATATGATAATCATATGCCCTTTTTCCATTATTTTATAACCACTGATATCCCATTATTATATACGAAATAATTAGAAAATCAAGTTCACTATATTATTTTTAACCACAGATGAGAACTAGGACATATGTCTTTCAAGAATGGAGGAATTTTCTTAAGTACCTTGAAGGAGCGACGAAGCCAACATTAACCATATGCAAGATCAATATAATTCTTTTGCATTTTACTCTCTTTTCCCACTACTTAAAGAACAAGTATTTCTAGATAATCCTGTTAACTATAAAAAACATCAGATCATGTTAACTATTACATATCAGTTACTTTTTTAGCCTTTTTGTTAGCTCGATGTAAGTCTGTACAAAATCAATATAAACTAAATTCATATACTATATGCTTTTTTTTTTGCTTTGATACTCTTTAAACTTAGCAGGAAAATCTATCTTAATGCCATCATGAGTTTATATAATTGTAATATAGTGTCACTCGGAAGTGCTTATTTGTTGAAAGAACCCATTCTTTATTGTCATTCACCATGTCTGTGTTGTCTATGATTTTAGAATTTATATTTTATTTGAATATGCATTGAATTTATAATACAAATGTGACTATGAATTGTGTTTTCTGATCTCTGAAACTGATATCATACATTAATCCTTATCATATTTTGTGATTAAGTAATCTCTATAGTTTCTCAAGTACGTGTGCTGGACTATGAAAGTTATCCATTTAATATAATTGATTATTTTTATTACAAAGAAAATTAGGTTTCATACAAATTAAGCATTGGCTGAACCTATCTGAAATTCACTATTTTATTGGTTGGGGCAATTCATGTGAAACACCAGCAATTGTTCTTTCAAAGAGCTTCAGAGGGCTTCTGCCTGAAATTTGGCCATCACACCTTCATACAAACGTTTCTCACAAAATCTTTCTCTTAGAAATGGGAGTCAGGGAGAATGCACTCTTGAACGTTTTATATATGTCCACCTTTTTGTTTCCACATACTGTAAACTTTGAAGTTCATCAGTTATTCAAAAAATGTGAGAATGTTTTTTATTGCCTTCGTAGTCATTTTAGGTTTTTTTTAACACTGTTGATATTAACGATCTAATTTTTTTTGAGATTCCAAAGAACCATAATTCCCAATGTTGATGTTGAAAAGGGCCTTTAAGTCTACCCCGGTACTGAGATTAAACCTTTGTTTAGCCATCTTCCATTCTATATTTGAAAGCCCATAGCAATGCTGATGTTATACCCTGGTTTAACCTTTTTCAATCACTTATATGATTTATGCCACAACAGCTTTCCTAATTGTTATTATTTTGCATATCAGGACCTATCTACTGAAGCTGCTGAAAATCTGCAAGAGTACTTCAGGACAATGTATAAAAAGGCAATTTGCATTTTCTTTACTTTTCTTTTATCAAATTAACACAGAATGGCAGTGCTTATTTTAATTTCCTTTGCTGTAGGTGACAGAAGCTGATATTGAGGAATTCGAAGCTAACTACAGTGGATCAGATTCAGAGAAGAAAGATCTGAAGAACCTATATACCGAAATTAAAGGCAACATGAACATGTGATTAAATTTTTCATGAAAGGCACTTATCCTCACCTAAATCTGGGAAGTATCCATTTCCTTTCATTGTCTTAACCAGTCTGCTTTCTTGGACTGATTTTTGCAATATGTATGCCTAACTGTACATATAGAAGTTACCGTCGGCTTCTTTGACATTTATTTTTTGCTACAGGCTTTTCTGTTCAATGCTTTGTTCTGAGGCAAAGCTTGATTCACATCGTTTCAAGGTCTAAATTTAGATATTTTGTAATAATAATAATAAGCTTGTGAGTTGATTATGAGTAATATTCATGTTTGGTAATGATAATAATAAGCTTATGGGTTGACTGTCAGTAATATTATTATTGGTACATAATTATCATTATTTTCTGATTACAATTAGTTAGATTCTTAAGTAATTAGTTTTATTAATGAATCTGCTTACACGTTTAAGAAAGTAAAGTTATAAAACAACCCGTGCTTTGCACGGGCATGAAAACTAGTTATGATTAAAAACCAAACGATAAAGAAAATTAAAACTCTTAGGACAGACAATGGTCTTGAGTTTTGTAACAAACAATTGAATGATTTGTGCTACTTGGGGTATTAAAAGGCATAGATCTATTACATACACACCCCAGCAAAATGGGGTTGCTGAAAGGATGAATAGAACTCTCTTAGAGAGGGTGAGGGTTATGTTGGCCACATCTGGGCTCTCTAAAAAGTTCTGGGGAGAAGCTGTTTGTACTACGACCTATTTAATTAATAGGTCTCCTTTTGTTCCCTTAGGAGGGAAATGCCCTAAATTTGTGTTTACGGGCAAACCTCTTGATTTAAATAATTTGAGAATTTTCGAGAGTGCTGGCTATGTGCATCAAAAGATTGATAAGCTAGAACCTAAATCTAAGAAATGTGTTTTCTTAGGATATACTGAAGGGGTAAAAGGTTATAGGCTTTGGAATAAAAGTGAATCGGGGTTTAAGGTAGTGATAAGTAGAGATGTTGTTTTTAATAAAAATAAATTTCCTTGTTTACCTTTACATGTCCCTATTCCTAAAAATGATACTCCAAATGAGGTGGAGCAAATGCCTATTATTAATCAACCTGAATCACCTCCTGAAGAATAATTGAATGATATAATTATTAAAAATTAAGATGAGAATATTCCTAATGAGGTGGAGCATGATATGTAGAAAATAGATAACATGCATGATTTGAATGATTATCAACTCACTAGGGATAGAAATAAAAGAACCATTATTGAATGATTATCAACTCACTAGGGATAGAAATAAAAGAACCATTAGGAAACCTGAAAGGTATAGAGATTACAATTTGGGGATAGAAATAAAAGAACCATTAGGAAACCTGAAAGGTATAGAGATTACAATTTGATTGATTGTAATATGTCTGAGTTTGCCTTTACTGTGTTTGAATCACTTGAGTGCAATGAATCTAAGACTTATAGAGATGCATTAAGGTCAAAATATTCTGAAGAATGGATTAGTGCTATGAAGAGTGAGATGGAATCCCTAAGAATTAACCAAACATGAAAACTTGTCACTAAACCTGCTAGTTGTTTTGTAGTAGACTGTAAGTGGCTGTTTAAGGTGAAACAAGAATCTGAAAGTGTTAGGTTTAAGGCTAGGTTAGTAGCTAAGGGATTTACTCAAAAGGATGGAATTGATTATGCTAAAAAATTTGCTCATGTTGTCAAATTCACTACTGTTAGAATTATGCTTGCTCTAGTTGCTCATTTTAATTGGGCATTAAAACAAATGGATGTAACTACTGCTTTTTTGCATGGTGATCTTGATAAAAATATTTATATGCACCAACCTGAGGGCTTTGTGGGCCCTAAATTGCCTGATCATGTGTGTTTGTTAAAAAAGGCTTTGTATGGTTTAAAACAATCACCTAGGTATGTTTGTTAAAAAAGGCTTTGTATGGTTTAAAACAATCACCTAGGTAATGGAATATTAGATTTGATAAATACATGCAATCTTTAAAGTTTAAAAGGATTAAAACAATCACCTAGGTAATGGAATATTAGATTTGATAAATACATGCAATCTTTAAAGTTTAAAAGGATTTTTGCTGATCATTGCCTGTATTATAAGAATATAGACTCTGTGCCTGTATTTCTTTTAATTTATGTGGATGACATGTTGATTGTTAGTCCTTGTTTGAAGTCTATTGAGCATGTTCAAAAATATCTTTGTGAAAATTTTGACATGAAAGACTTAGGCAATGCTAAAAGAATCCTAGACATGAATATTATTAGGGACAAAAACAAATCTACTCAAATTTTAAACCAAAGTTCATATGTTGAAATTTTTTTTTTTGAGTAAATTCGCTATGTCTGATACCAAATCTGTGAATATGCCTCTTGCTTCCCATTTTGTGTTAAGTAAGGATCAGTCTCCCAAAATTAAAACTGAAATAAATGATATCAAGAACGTGTCATATTCAAATGCTATAGGATCGGTCATGTATCTCATGGTTAGTAGGCCTGATATTGCATATGCGGTTAGTTGCTTGAGTAGATATACGTCAAATCCTGGTATGCCTCATTGAAATACTTTGAAATGGCTTTTAAGATATTTAAAATCCTCTGTGGATGTAGGATTAACCTTCTCTAAGTGTTCTGAAGGTGTCAAACTAGTTGGCTATGTAGATTCTAATTATGCAAATGATAGACATAATAGAAAATCTACTACTTCCTATGTGTTTACTTTGTGTGGCTCTTGCATATTTTGGAAATCCCAACTACAACCCATTATTGCTTTATCCACTACTGAATCTGAGTATGTTGCTACCACTGAAGCTTTTAAAGAAGCTATTTGGCTTAGAAGCCTTATATCTGAAATTGGTTTTCTGGATAAAAATGTGGTTGTATTTTCTGATAGTCAATCTGTCATTCAACTTTGTAAAAATCCTGTTTTTCATGATAGAACTAAACATATTGATGTTAGATTTCATTACATTCGGGATATAGTTGAAAAGAGTATTGTCAAGTTAGAGAAAATTCCCTCAGAATTTAATCCGACTGACATGGGTACTAAGTGTTTGCCTGTTGAAAATTTTATCTCGTGTCAAAGAATATTGAATTTTGACTTTGGGTAATTTTCCTTTGCTTTGTGTATTGCCTTTGTGGCCTATTAACTTGCTTTGTGCTTGTTAGTAGCTTTGTGATTTTCCCTTTGAACTCGATGACCGATTGGTAGAGTTCGGTCCTTTGTGGACTTGGTATGCTTGGTGATCTTACCCCGATCTTTGTGATCTGAGTTTACTTTGTGTATTTTCTTCCATTGCTTGTATCTTCTTTGTGATCATACAGGTAATGGTTTAGCGATGATGAGTCTTGCAGTTCCGTGTTTGTTTTTTGTCTGTGCACTACCTTGGGCCTAAGGTGGAGATTGTTGTTATTTTTGTTGACCCAAAGTCTGGCCCGTTACCAAAAGGCTCAGTTCCCCACAATATTTGTTTCAGCCTATCTCTAATCTCGCCTCTGTAGGATTGGCAAGAATAGAAGGTTTGGGCTCCCAAGAACAGTTTGACAGGTTGGCGGTCGACCGCGGGTCTTTGCGGTCGATCGAAGTCGTGCACGGGGCCTCACTATGCCTCTGGATCTCTAGTGGTCGACCGTAACGGTCGACCGTGACGGTCGACCGTGACGGTCGACCGTGAAAGTTTCTGCTGTCTTAGGAAGTCTCTGGAGTTGATGCAATTGACCGTGGTAGTCGACCGCGATACCTGTGCGGTCGACCGTCACGGTCGACCGCCGAAGCGGTTTTGGGCTGATTCTAGGTTCCAGACCCGTTTCGTTTGGGAGTTGTATAAATACTCTTAACTCATTTTTAGGGTTTAAGGGAGAAGATTTTGAGCTGAAGAAAAAGGAGATTTAGGGCTTCTATTGTTTGAGCCATTTGGAGAGATTAAGAGGGCTTATTTGTGGGTTTGTGGTAAAATTTGTAACCCTAATTGTATTCCCCTTGATTTCTATTAGTAAAACTCCTCCCTCCTTGCCCCGTGGATGTAGGAAATTTGCCAAACCACATATATTATGTGTTCTTGCTGTGATTGAGTGTGGCTTGTGCTATTGTGGTCTATTATTGGTTCTTGTGTGTGCTATTGATTTGTCGAATCGGCTTTCGCCGCGTACAACAAGTGGTATCAGAGCTCCGGGTTTGATTTGGGAGTTTGTTCGAATGATTCACTATTGGATTCTTGTTTGGAGAGGTAGATCTACAATATGGCCTGTGCTAATTGTAGATTTGTAACCCTAATTGAATACACTATTGAATTAGGGTTTGTGGTAAGATTTGTAACCCTAATTGTATTCCCCTTGATTTCTATTAGTAAAACTCCCCCCTCCTTGCCCCGTAGACGTAGGAAATTTGCCAAAGCACGTATATTATGTGTTCTTGCTGTGATTGAGTGTGGCTTGTGCTATTGTGGTCTATTATTGGTTCTTGTGTATGCTATTGATTTGCCGAATCGGCTTTCGCCGCGCACAACAAGTGGTATCAGAGCTCCGGGTTTGATTTGGGAGTTTGTTCGAAGGATTCACTATTGGATTCTTGTTTGGAGAGGTAGATCTACAATATGGGTGAAACAAGCAAGTCTAGCTCAAGTACTACAGATTCTTGTTTGGAGAGGTAGATCTACAATATGGGTGAAACAAGCAAGTCTAGCTCAAGTACTACAAGCACATCGGGGTCGACTTTGACGAAGCTACAATATGGGTGAAACAAGCAAGTCTAGCTCAAGTACTACAAGCACATCGGGGTCGACTTTGACGAAGATGATTCAAAGTTTGAGTATTAATAATACTAAGATTGATGTACCGAAGTTCGACGACAAGATTAATTTTGGTTTGTGGAGGTTTCAAGTAATGGACGTCTTAGATGCACAAAATTTAGAGGAGACTCTTGAGCTACAAGAGAAACCCGAAGATGTTGAAGATAAAGTTTGGAAGAAAATGAATAGTAGGGCTTGTGGGGTTATTCGGTCATGCTTGACGTCGGATCTCATTTATGATGTGATGAACGAGACGTCGGCAAAGAGATTATGGGAAATGCTTAATGAAAAATATTTGATGAAGAGCATTGAGAATCGACTTCACTTGAAGAAGAGGTTCTACCAATTCAAGATGAAGATGGGAGTTTCCATTCGGGAGCATGTTAATAACTTTACAAAGCTAATTTCGGATATGGCCAATGTGGATATTATGGTTGAGGATGAAGACAAGGTGATGTTACTATTGTGTTCGTTACGAGAGGATGATTTTGGTACGTTTGTTCTAACTATGATAAATGG